CCCCAAAACCCCAAAACCCCAAAACCCCGAAAGCTTAGAAATGCAACCAATAAGTTTATGATTTAATTCTCTAAATAAATAGGATTACCTTTAATTATTTTAAATCAATTTAGATCTAACTCTGAAATCACATATTTGTTGACTGTTTTTCTAACAGGTTAATTACCATGAGCGAATATCAAAATATCAGTAATCTTTAATTGAAAAGCTGGAGGATAAATCTTTTTATTCTCTTAATCACTGAAATTTAACTTGTCTCTTAGTATTTCTAATCTAATCTTATCTTTCTCAAAAATGTATTTAACATACAAATACTCAGAATTTGTCTAGTATTTGAAAGACTCTCCATCATCTAGATAAAGAAACCCTGATGCATTTCCTTGCTCATCTAAGTATACTTCTAATCTTATATCATTTAACCACAATCTAGCTAATGATGATTGTCTTGGATGTAATTTAATTGGAATAATAGAACCTCCCTTAACAAATACCAGAGTCTGACTTTCACTGAGTAAAGCTTATCTTTATATACTGTCACCTTTAGTGGATTTCTTAGTTTCATAGTTATACCAGATATTATCTTTGGGCAGAGTGTAATTTAGAATATAATACTTTTCTTGTTCATTTTGACTTTCTTCATCATTCACCTCTTTATCTTTTTCGTGGTATTATAATTTAGGAACAATAAGAAAAGAATCTCCTATCATAAACTAGTGCTGATTATTAAAATGCGATGATTAACTTGGGAAATTAAACCATATCGGCCTCATGACTGGGTAGCCTTGAGTATGAGATTGATAAAAGGTAGTGTAGCTATAATAAGTAGATGAATAGAGCAATTGATTACAAGTAATGAATGAGTGAGTATCTAGTATAAACAGCTCTCTTAATGGCGTTTTTAACTTTTTCTTCTTGCTTGAAAGGTTCTCTATCATGTGCATCAAGATGTCCATGAGCTCTAAAGAAAGGGTACCAGCCAGCTAATTAATAGAACATTATAAAGAGTTCAGAATTTGGATCTCCTGCAAAACCTGGCACATCTGGTCCTACAAAATGAACCCCAGAAATACTTAAGCTTAAAAGCTATGAAACTGAAACACCAAGTTCACTTAACTTCGATCTGTTATCCCCTGTCCATTTAGCTGAGTATTTTTAAGTTCCAAAGAATGAAGCCCTAGTTAGAATGAAGGGTCTTTATTGATTTTAATCTCTTTATAGTAGTCCTTCATAAGTTGCCTGAGACATCATTAAGCCATATGCATTGTGAACATCTCTATGATACACCTTAACTCCATTATCCAATAAATGAAGATTTATCTTCGACATAGTGCCCTCATCATCCCCATTATTATTAAATACTGAAGGCTCATTCATATCTATCCAAATATGAAACATATTGTTTGTCTTCTTGAAATTCTCATAGTCATATTATTTTGACCAGAATTTGCGAGCATATGGATTGAAAAAGTCAATCCAAGAACTGTCCCCGGGCCAGCAATACCCATGATATGGATTAAATGTCGAGTCTTTAATGAATATATTCTTTAAGGGGAAGCCCTCATCTTATTCTAAGATATCAATGTCATAGCCTTGCTTATATATCCAATACTCATCATCTTTCTTAATATGAGGATCTGTAATTACAACAATCTTCCTACCTTTTTATGAAACTATCTGCTTCATCTCATCAAAATCCTAATCATTAAATCTTTCAGGATCAAAAGTAAAGTACTTTCCTCCTTCAGTATGAGTAATATCCATCCAAAATACATCAACAGGAATTTTTCCTTCATCAAAATTATTACTTAAGTCAATCACCCATCTAGCTGAAATATCAGATTCCCATTTAGAATAATGAAAGCCTAGTGAAAATAATGGTGGTAAAAACTAGAATCCAGAAATTCTAGCTAAAAGATTTGCTACCCTTTTAGGAGGTGACTAAGTTTTATCTTTTGAAGCAGATCCTATTATGAAGAACTCAAGAACTCCACTCTCAGATATAAAATTTACATATCTTTAGGAGTAATTACTTTCATTAACCTAAGGCAAGGCATCTTTCTTTATAATATCAACCCAGGTTTCAGCTGAGTTATAATACAAAATAGCTAAATCGTAATCTTCATGATGTCCTTGAATATAAGGGATACTGCTATAAAGTCCTTTGTCACTCCATTCTTTATGAGGAAAAATATCTGAATTAAACAATCTATATGGATCAGTTTCTTCTGTTGTCTTTAAGAGAAATTTTTGTGATCTTTCAGGCAATCCAAACAGATATTCTGAATTCAAACTAAAGCCAATCATAAAACTTTCTCTTGGATAGGTTTTCAAATTTTCCATCATTATTTATTCATACATATATTTAGAGAGCCACATGTCATCTTAGGTATCATAAGCTCCAAAATTTTGAGCTAGCTTATTAAAACCTAATTCAGACAGTAGATCATTAAGACAATCATCCTCTGGTTCAAATTCATCCTGCAAAATATCATAATTTATCTGATAATTTTCAAATAACAAGGTGTCCTTGTCGTTAACAATTATGGTAGTAATATCATTGATTTTTTATATTACTCGAAATGGCTTATATCTTATTATATATTCATAGGAATCAAGCATATCCTTGCTCTTATATTTGATTGATACTTAATCTTGCTAAAAATCAGCTATCTTATTCAGATTATTCATCTTAATAAGGTTATCTTCTGTAAAACTAGCACCATTATCCGACCTTGTTATTCTAAATCTATTTTAATTAGATTTCTTCTCATCAATTATGACTCTAAACACTCCATCTTCGTAAATATGGATATTTATTTATAGAATATCTGCAATAAAAAACTATTCAGAATCTTAATATAGTCTATTTCTACAGTTAAGTTTCAGACTACCTGACAACTAGTTATCTTTCTTAAATAGAATTACGCAGGAGAATATTTACAATTTCTATGGAGTGTTATTGAAGATTATAGTAAAAGTATGCTTTCTCTTATTACATCATTTCATTAAAAATTATCCTGTTTCTGCTACAAAACCCTAAAGTCCTATTAAAATTGAAAATTATACCTTAATCTGAACAAGATTTAAGTTTGACCCCAATTACATTCTCAATCTAATTCAACTCAAAAAGCAACAGTAAAAATGCCAATAATTTGAAATGATAAAGCATTAAAATGATAAGGTTACTCAATTAATATAGATATTTCTAATGATTTTTATTTCTTTTAGATTATTAAATTTCGATAGAAATCGTTAATAATCTGCAATGTGGGGTTTTGGGGTTTTGGGGTTTTGGGG